AAAAGTAATAAATGGCTGCAATTCGCAAGAAATTAGTCATTGTTGGGGATGGTGCTTGTGGTAAAACTTGCTTGTTAATTGTCTTCTCAAAAGATCAATTTCCTGAAGTTTACGTGCCTACAGTTTTTGAAAATTATGTTGCTGATATTGAAGTAGATTCTAAGCAGGTTGAATTAGCATTATGGGATACAGCTGGTCAAGAAGATTATGACCGTCTACGTCCTCTTTCTTACCCAGACACTGATGTAATATTAATGTGCTTTTCAATTGATTCACCAGATAGTTTGGAAAACATTCCAGAAAAATGGACACCTGAAGTAAAACACTTTTGTCCAAACGTTCCAATCATACTCGTTGGCAACAAGAAAGATTTACGTAATGATTCAAACACAATTCACGAGCTTGCAAAAATGAAACAGGAACCAGTGAAGATTGAACAAGGTCGTGAGATGGCTGAGAAAATCAATGCATTTAGCTATTTGGAATGCTCTGCAAAATCAAAAGATGGTGTACGTGAGGTGTTTGAAACTGCAACACGTGCTGCTCTTCAAGTTAAAAAGAAAAAAGGCAAAAAATGTAATATCTTATAAAATCTAAATGTTTAATTTTAATGTAATAAAAAAACTATTTTTTTATAATTTAAAGCTGGCTAGCTTTACGATAATATTTCATCACGTTCATTTAATCAATTTTAGGTAGCCTTTTTTTAAAAAAAATTCTTTCATACCTACTTTAGAATTTTTAAAAGTAACTTATTTGAATTATTCACTTTTTTTTTTTAAGCAGAGATCTATTATATGTTGATTTTTCATCAGGTTGTTTGTAGATTAGGATAAACGATATAACTTTTTTTTTAACAAAAATCATTAAATGTATTAGCTATATAAATTGTGCTACAACTTTTTATTATTTCTAAACATTCAAATCAAATAAAGTTTTATTATTGTCGAAACGACTGTGTTCGATGTGGTTTTTATACATAGGTTTTTTGACCAGGGGTTCTGTCCAACGGCAAGTCTTTTTAACCATTAACGGGTTTGCGTGCAAAATGATGTAAGTACGAACCTGTTTGGGTGCAAACTGCCATAAGTACGTCGAACAATGTTACAAACGTAATTTTACTGGCATAATAGACGATAACTTAAAAATCGCTAAGCGAGCAATGGGTTCTGGTATTGCCTGGGAGATTTAAAATATTCCAAATAACTTTTTCTAATACATTTTCTTCATTTATTACTAAAACCATGATAGCTCTTCGGTAATTTTAAAAAATATTAAAGGTCACTAAGCTTCCATGTAGAAAAATTTACATAATTATCAAGTTTTAGACCTTTAGCAGAAAGGTCTAAAACTTGAAAATTATTTATAATCATTCATTAAAACCTTGATATTTATTTATAATCATTCATTAAAACCTTCACTAAATTTCCGCAGTCATCTTTAGAACACTCTATCTTCAAATCAATTAATAAATTTTAAAAGTTTAAATTAATAAGAACTACATTAAACATAAGCTACTTAAAACTATAATGCAAAATTTGATTTTTTTTACTTCGTACTCCCCCAGGCGATCCCACAATGCATTGCAAAAAGTTATCAAATATCGTCTATTTAGCATAGACTACTGAAAGTAGCTGATACTATTTTTTCAATCGCTCACTATTTTTTTGTTCCCTCTGATAACGTTGTTTTTTTCCGGTCTTAAATGTAAGCATAGTCATAAGAAAAAGATTTATCAAGGGTCATAATTTCTTATGACTATGATATAAACGAGTTTAGATATTTAAAAGTTAGCGTGTCATTAAAATTTAAAAAGGTCTTTTAAGGTTACAAAAATTATTGAAATCAAATCTTTTTTGTTAGCTATTATTACTTTATATGTTATAGCTTATTGTAGTCAATATTTTTTTAGTTTTTATACAATATGTAAAACTTTAAAAATCTCTTTTGAAATCTATAGTTAAATAAACGTTTAATAAGATCAATTTAAAGTTATTTATTTAAATATTAGATTACAATTAAACGTGAATTTTATTTAAATAAAGATGTTTGATTGAGTTTCCCCCGCTCATTCTAAGTAAAGCGAGGTGTTATAAGGAACACGGTGGCTTAGTTAAACACAAAAAGGAGGTCAAAATTATTTTTTTTTCCTGCGCAAAGGTTATTATTACTTTCAAAAATCTCATATGGTAAAGTATGCATGTGGTAAAGTATGCATGTAGTAAAGTATGCATGTGGTAAAGTACGCATGTGCAAAAATTTACACAATTTTAATCTCTAGTTTCAAGATAATTTTGAAGTTATTTGTATTTTTCAAACTATTTTATAATATATTTTGAAGTTATTTGTATTTTTTAAAACTTGAATTACGCAATATTGTGCGAAGCGTTAAAAATAAATCTAACGTTTTAGCATTTGATTTGAAACGAAACAAAACTGACTTGTTAAATTTTGAAAAGTTTACATTTCTATTCATTCCATGTTTAAATTTTTTTTTTTTTTTTTATACATCGCTTCCAACAAGGCTGCAAACAACCACTAATTAGTGTTAGAAGTTACTGAAAGTGAAAAGATGAAGGTTGTACAGCAAGATAACGATTGACAGACGACTTAGAGGATTGCAAATTATAGGAATCAGGAGAGCAAGATGAAGGAAACGAAAAGAACTGATGTTCGAGGAAAAAAACTAGACAAATAAGAGTTTTCCATCACTTAGGAACAGTAACAGAAAAAGGATGAGACTTAATTGAATGAAGAGTAACACGAGAATGAATTTTAGTAGATGGCACAAGAGACGCTAGCTCTTTAGAGTAGTGCCCATTGTAGTATTTGTAGAAAAAAGAAAGAGAAGCAACATTATGACGATGTGACAAAGGTTAAAGGTTGGCTGCAAAAGCAAGTCCAACTGTGCTTACAATGCGTTTTTGCATCTTGTCTAAAAGAGAAAGGGCATCATTAGAAGATCCACCCCAGATATGGCAACAGTATTCTATACAAGGCCGGATTTGAGATTTATAGAGATAGAGAATAGAATTCAGAGAAGAAAGTGTCAAGCTCGGTAAAGAGAAGCAACTTTAGCAGATGCTAATTTTGTAACGGATTTGATATAAGGTTTCCGAGAAAGATGAGAAGTAAGAGTTAATCCTAGAAGATGAAGGATAGATGACTCATCGAGTACATTACCATTCATAAATATAGGAAGGTCTAAATTATTGCAATAATGATTGGTTAAAAAAAATTGAGTTTTATCTGAATTAAAGTTCACCAGCCACTGAGAGCTCCATGCTGTAGCAGAAGTGAGAACCTTTTCAAGCTCAAATGCCCCCTGCAAGCAATCAGAGGGAGTTGGCTACTTATTGTGGCAATAATAAATGGTAGTATCATCAGCAAACAATGCCACCTTAGATGTGAGAATATCTAAAAAATCATTAATGTAAATTAAAAAAAGTATAGGACCAAGGAACCTTGAGGAGCCCCTGAGGTTACAGATCAAAAAGAAGAGTGCTGTTCATCAAGGACAACTTTTATACTACGATTGTAAAGGAAGGATTCAATAATCTTAAAGATGTTTCCAGATACACCGTAAGAAGAAAGTTTATGAAGAAGACCAGCATGACAAACTTTATCAAACGCTTTAGAAATGTCAAGAGCGATGGTCTTAACCTCTCCACCTTTATCTAATGCACGATAAAACCTATCGGTTATTATTGTTAGCAAATCAGCCGTTGAACAAGATGAGAGATTTTGTGTTTGTTAATTAAAGATTCAAAAACCTTGCTTATGTCAGGAAGAAGACTAATGGGATGGTAGTTATTAGATTGCTCTCCAGAATTTTTAAAAATAGGGATAACAAATCCTGCTTTCCAGCAGGCTGGAAAACAAGACTCTGAAAAGCACTTGTTGAATAGTTTTGAAAGGATAGACGACAGCTCCGGAGAACACTTCTACAAGACTATAACAGGTATGTTGTCCGGGCCACAAGCTGGAGAAGAGTCTAAGCAGGAAATCACGTTAGATACAGAAGCTGTAGTGATACGGATGTCGAGCAATGAATCAAGCTGTTTGACGCCTATATTAGGTAGAACACAACTAGTGAAATCAAGAGATGATATTGATGAAAAGTTCTTGGCAAACAATTCAGCTTTGTTTTTAGGTGAGGTGACAAAGTCTGAACCATACAAAAGAGGTGGAATTACAGACTTACCCTTATTATTGATACTATTAAAGATTCATCAGAAGTCACAGGAGCCAAATTTTTGTGATGAAATACGAGATTTCATGATCTGATAATAGCGGGCTATGGCGTTGGACAAAATCTTTTTACAGTGGTTCCTAGCAGTAATAAACAGATGTCTGTTTTCTGGAAAATTGTTTTGCTGATAGATATGGAAGTAATGGTTTCGATTGGCTGCACAATGTGAGGAAAACCATGGAGAAGAGTAAGGCTTGACCTGGAATCGTCGAGAGGGAATAAAGGATTCCAGGCCAGCCTGAATCCACGAAGTTATGTAAGAAGCACATTTGTCGAATAATTTCTACCCAAGGGCTATCACGAAGAAAATCACAAAAAGAGTCCCACAATGATAGGGGGACTCTGATGATAAAGAAGGATGAGATAATAGTTTTAGAGAGACCAAACCATAATCGCAAGCATCAAAGGGTGAATGTGGAAAAACTGAGCACTGACTAGGATCAGAAACAAGACATAAGTCGAGTAGAGAAGGTAAATGATTTGGGTTGTCTGGATAGCGAGTTGAAATGTTGACTATTTTAGTTAGGGATTGAGAAAGGCAAAAGTTGTGGGTTTTAATGCCTGCAGAGTCACTGACACTAGAGCCAAGCCATTCAATGTGATGAACTTTAAATCATCGACAACAACAATATTGGCTGATGGATAAATAATGAGAGCTTGGTCAATATAATCAGAAATAACATCAAGAAGAGTGCAGTCTTGAGATGAAGGAGATCGATATAGAACAAAGAGAAATGTGATAGAGTGAAGTGGTGCTAAACGAAAGCACATAAAAGAGTAGTCTATGGATTCAAACCTAGTTTTCCGACAAATTGGTGAATTCTTACGAATGTAAATGCCTAGGCCAAGCATGTGACTATTGGAGTCTTTACGAATTAAAGGAAGATAACCATCAACACTAAGATCACATGATGAGACAGCTGAACTCAAATTAGTCTCACAAAGAGCAAATAGGTCTGGTGAACTTTCTAAGAGATAAGACTCAACAGAAGTAAAGTTACCATGAAGACCACGAATATTAGTGAATGATAGGTTTAGCGAACTTGGTAATAACTGTGATTTTTTGTTACTTTATTCATTTTTAAATTTGTTAAAGAACTTGACTCAAAACATAGATAGTACTCAGTACACTGTTTAATAGCCCAAGCAATTACCTCATTACTATTAATTTTGATTCTCGATATGTTAAAACTGAAACTTTTAAAACTGAACTTGAAACTATTAAAAATAATTTTACAGTAATTCACATAAATATAAGAAGCATAAATAAAAATTTTGACAAACTTAAGCACTTCCTAATTGATTGTAATTACTTATTTAGTATGATTTGTCTAACAGAAACTTGGTGTTCTGACGAATCAATCCAAAATAACACTAACTTTCAAATTCCCAATTATAAATTAATATCTTCTGAAAGAAAAACATGCAAAAAAGGAGGAGGGATTGCAACTTATGTTCGGAATGATCAAGCAATAAAAGTAAGAAAAGACCACTCCATTTCTAATGCCGATAGTGAGGTCTTTACAATAGAAATCATAAACTCCAAGTTTAAAAATATTATTGTTTCTACCTGTTATAGACCACCTGAAGGTAATATTAAAACTTTTTCTAAATATCTAGAAGAAATTTTTCTCAAAATCAATAAAGAACAAAAAAAGTTATTCTGTATTGGGGACCT